ATGGAAGATTAATCATAGAAATCTATAGAAATGAAAGCATAAGTACAGAAAAAAGCACATTCAAGATTACGGAGTTTTGCTTGTAAGGGTGAATCTGGGAAAAAACCTGTGTGTTTATACATGGCAGAATGATGAGTACATTGTGATCTATGATATGGAATAATACGAATGAGTTCAGTCTGTATCTTTTGTTTTAGAATGGTTCCTATGACACTGATACAAGCTCTGTAAAGCTGGAAATGGTATTACATGCTCCCATTTTTAGACCCCCAAACTTAAATCCATGTGTTTATACGTGTTTCTGTTAGTTTGGAAAAGATGTAGAAAGATTATTAAAGATTATTCATAGTTTCAGTTTATTGTTTCTTAAAATTTAATTACTAAATGTTTACAAATTTTTAAATTAAGTTTGTTCAGACATTATGTCTATTGAAAGCATATATGTTGATTTAGACCACTTTTGAGTATTAGTCCAAAACTAGTAGTAATTATTTTTCTTTCATTTAGGTTATTTCCAGAAAGAAGAGAATGGCAAAGTATGAGAAGGCTGAGGTAAATGGTTTACTTAAATAATAAAAGGCCTGGTTGAATGTCTTATTCCTAATAGTTGCCATACCTCCCTAGAGGCCGTTGGATCTCAATTATCCTGGAGTCTGTTATACTGTAGGTTCTTAGGGGGAGTCTTAGAATGCACTCTTACCTAAGTTTTCTTGTGTGGGTTCCATGGCAGACCACCTAATAATGAATTTTGCTTCATGGAAGAGTGGAATGGAAAGCCAGTGATTTTTGTTTTACAACATGTTAACATGTAGTAGAATCTTTTACAGGTATAGACCAGTGGACTGGCTTTACAGACACTTGGTGTTACTAGTGATCTGATTTATTGTGTCTATGCCAGTGAAATAATAATTTAAAATGAACTGAATTCGTCATAATCTGTTGCGTTCTAACAAATCCCTTGAACTAGTATGAAATAAAAGTGTCAGATGTTAGTGTGTTCAGTTCCTTGGAATTAGATGGGAACACACTTGTAATCTTACCAATAACATTTTTTGTATAACTCACCTATTTTTGTATTTCTGAGTATTTATTTGTAATTATATATATGCCACTTCCTAGTTTTTTAGCAAATAACAAAACTAGAAATGAAAATGAATATTGAAAAAAATTGAACAAAACCAGGAAGTTCTACCATTTTCTTCTCATTCCATAGTAGATCATCTGGCTTGCCTGGTTTGGTGACCAGAGGTCTAGGGGACTATCTCAGAACTGAATTGTAACTGACATACAGAATGACAATGTAGTGTTGTGGTTAACAGCAATACCTATCTGGATTTTGGCTACTTATTAGCTGGGCAAGTTGTATAACTTCTTTAAGCCTTTGTATTTTCTCACTTGTAACATGAGGATAATAGTATAGACCTGTTGCACAGATTAAATGCTATCTGTGTAAAGTAAGGATTAACATCAACCATGTAAAGTGTTGGTCCTGTGCTTGCCACAGCAAAATGTTTGTCAAAAGTAATAGTTGGAGGCGCCTATAGCTTAGTGGCTAGGGCGCCGGCCACATACTAGCAGGGGCTAGCAGGTTCTTGGAGGCTGAGGCAAGAGAAACACTTAAGCCCAAGAGTCTGAGGCTGCTGTCAGCTGTGATGCCACAGCACTCTACTAGGGGTAACATAGTGAGACTCTGTCTCGGAAAAAAAGTAGTAGTAGTTATTATCATTGTTGTCTCATTTCTGCCTATAACTAATTGTGTTATCTGGGACAGGTTACTTATTTCTGAACTTTGATTTCTTTACCTATTAAATTAAAGGTTGATTGGAAAATGATATTGAAGACTGATAGAAAATGAACTGATAGTGTGCACTTGGGTGGTGCCTGGGGCTCAAAGGAGTAGGCTGCTGGCCCCATATACTGGAGGTGGTGGCTTCAAGCCCGGCTCCTGGCCCAAAACTGCGAAAAAAAAAAAAAAATAGTGTGCACTTAATAAAAATATCTAATTCTTGAAGATAAAGCATACCTGCTCCTATCCCTCATGATTTTGGCCATGTTGTCTCTAATTTACAGCTTGGACACACTCAGTATGTGTTTCCTTATAATACAGATATATCTTTTTTTATTCAAATAAGTCTTATAAATGTAGAAGATAATCTTCTTGCTTTCTTCTCAAAATGTTTCTTTCAAACTATTTTCAGAATGAAGAAAGGATTGGAAAATTACTTAATTTTTTTTTCCTGTACTTTCCCCCTCTGTTTCAGATAAAGGAGATGGGTGAGATGCATAGAGAATTCAATGCATAACTACTGTAATTTGAAGATGAACTACAAGAAGGGAGATTAGTAAACGGACTCAGATTCCAAATGTGTGCACACAGAACAAAGAGAAGATCTTCGAGGATTATTGTTTCGTTAGTTAACATCATGTATTTGCAGTAGTGAAGTCTATGCTCAGAATGTAAGCAGCGTGAAATTGGCTTTAACCAATCTAAAAATTTCACCACAAGTGTCTTATAAATGCAGATCTAATAGAAAACCCAAACTTGGACTGAGTAGTTAGAATTGTTTCTGCATAGCGTTGAAGAATATGCACTAGACATGCTTCTACGGTAGAGTTTGAATGACTGCTATCTCATTTGTGATTTAAAGCTGCCTTTCTGTTTACTTTGAGTCTTGTACATATAAACATTTTTTATGAAGTGTGAAATAAAACATTTAAAACCGAATTTTGTAACTTTGAATCATACCCAGATGAAATCTCAAATTTCATAGCATACACATTATAGGTTAAAAAACTATGAATGCTAACTACAAAGGGGAATTTTCTATGAGTACTTATAATCAAGTATATTTGATATAAAATGTACTTGTGAAATGCAGTGGTTTCCACCAGTAGTCCCAGCTACTGGGAGGCTGGAGAAAGAGGATAGCTTAAGCCCAGGAGTTTGAGGCTATAGGGATACATATATAGAGAGAGAGATAGACACATAAATATATATATGTATATGTGTGTGTGTGTATATATATATATATATATATGAAAAATAGAGACATATGGCTACTTTCCAGACAGCCCTCATAAAGTGTGTAACCCATAATACGGAACTTCTACACAGAAAAATCAGTTTTTTTCTGAGTGAATCTGAGTCAGTTTGAAATAAAAATTGGCATTTTGGTACAACAGTCACATCTTGAAGCAGGGTTAATTGATGGAGAGTTGTAAACCATGAATTCTATGGTTTTTGAATTAGAAAGAACAGTGTTTAATACAGCACATTCTCAATATCTTATATAATGGACAATTATAGTACAATTGCATTTTACTTTTAGTTACCTAGAAAGTTAGTATGGGGCAGGGGCGGTGGCTCACACCTGTAATCCTAATACTGGGAAGCTGAAGTGGGAGGATTACTTGAGGCCAGGAGTTTTAGACCAGTCTGAGTGACACAGGCAGACACCCATTTCTATAAAAAACTTAAAATTAGCCAGGTTTGGTGGTACCTATGGTACTAGCTCCTTGGGAGGCTGAGGTAGGAGGATCACTTGAGTCCAGGAGTTGGAGGGTGCAGCCAGCTATGGTCACACTACTGTAGTTCATCTGGGCAACTGCCAGACCTCATCTCCAAAAAGCTACAAAGTATACTGAAATATTCTGCTTTTGATAGGACTTTTAAAAACTATGGGGGCTCAGCACCTGTGGCCCAAGCAGCTAAGGCGCCAGTCACATACGCTTGAGGCAGTGGATTCGAATCCAGCCTGGGTCCGCCAAACAATAATGATGGCTGCAACCAAAAAATAGCCGGGCATTGTGGGCACCTGTAGTCCCAGCTACTTGGGAGGTGGAGGCAGGAGACTCGCTTAAACCCAGGAGTTGGAGGTTGCTGTGAGCTGTGAAGCCACGGCACTACCCAGGGCAATAGCTTGAGGCTCTGTCTCAAAAAAAAAAAAAACTACTATGGAAAGGATAATAGTAAAGAAAATATGAAAGCTAGATTTAAACATTTGGCCATTATTTTTATCCTTTCTGTGCGGCCTCCAAGATCTTGTACCCCGAGGTAAATGTCCTATATAATTCCCTTCCCCTCGTTTTTTTTTTT